CCCATTTGCCCACCATCCAATAAAAGTTTGTTTCTTTGTTTTTACCCTTTTTTTGACCTTTGGGTTACATTGTATATCTTAGCCTTTCCCTTGGAAGGTTTAGATGTATTCCCTCTCCCTCCCCCCACTATGCTCACTAAAAAGTAAGTTATTCATTTTTATTTACTTACATATTTGAATAAATTTAAACTTATGAAATTTAGTCAGTGGTTCATAAAAATTCCAATATCCCAATAATGTCCAAATGACAATAACAACTAAAACAACAAAAGTAAGAAGCACAAGATCTATTTAGACCATAGATATATACAAATGGAGGTAGTGGGCAGAAATATCGAAGGGTGACCACAAAGGAGTGTTATGTCAAAAGGACCAAGGTGATGAGTAGAAACAGACCCAGCACTGTGCTTTGTATGAGGCAGAATTCTCAATGACCGATGGCTGAAGTTGACCTACTGATTGTCTGGAAATGGGGAATCTACTGATTCCCCACCCTCCAAGCCTGTATTCCATATACTACTAGATATGCACAGTTCTGGACCTCCTAACCCCGCAACCAGCGCGTCTTCCCCGAGAGCAAAGGGGATGCACTGAATCCTATGTTGAGATGGTGACATAAAGGGAAAGTCTCACCTCCTGCAATTCCTCTTTAGAGATTATTTGATATGATTTAATGGCACTGATTTCTGTCATAGAGTTGTACTTCAAAATTACTTTTTAGGAGGTTACTGACTTCTTACTTTTAGAAGATATGACTAGATACCAGTTTCTGTCCTCCACTGAGTCCTCAGAAAAAGACCATGAATCAGAGAAGCATAGCAAAAATAAACTATTTTACTGTTTGCTGAGGAGCAAATGTCAGGTAATTCTATATTTCCACTTCTTTCCTGGGGTAAACAGAGTAAGAGCTCATGTTTTAATTTTATTCTGCCTCTCCACATTTTGACATAATATATTATTTCTCTGGCATTCATATACAGATCTAAATGGGAAACCAAGGCAAAGAATTTACACTCTGAATTAATGAACTTTGCTCTCTGTCTTTATGAAAATGGCACTTATCTATTAATATTTACATAGTTTTAAAATTTATCAGATCATATAAGCATTAGTATTACAAATAATCTGTTTCCATTTCTAGAGAAATTTGGGAAATGTGGGCATTATTTATCAAAACACAGACACCTGATTAACAGTCTGTCAACAGAAAGGAATAAGGACAGGAATTAGGAGAATTAGAGTTTGTTATTTTTATCCCTTTCTGACTTCTTGAATAATATACTTTATACATAGTTGTGTATGGACATGAATGTATTCATGTGGATGAAATTTTTCCCCCTTTGGCTTTTTCATGAAAGTTACAAATCTCTGAAAATAGACTTGCCTCAAGCTTCTATGCATTTTTGACCTTTTATTTTCAAACTTTTCTTCTAAAAGGAAATTGACTTTCAACTCTATCGGTATGCTTTGCCCTCTTTGTGACTACCATTTGCTAGTTTTATATTGTGTTTTTGTCTCCATTTTCAGGGTAAGGTGTTTATTTGTAGGAGGACTACTCAATCTCTCCCTTAGATTTTTGCCTTTACCTCAAGATTACTGATTCACTGCTACCTTGCTGATATGATAGCTGACCTCTATGCCTAATATCAGGTCGACAACACTCCTTCAAAGGAGCAGGGTCAGAGCCATAAACCTACTAGAAACCTAGTGAAAACTACTATTTTTTAAAAAAATAATATTATATTAGGTGCCCTGTTATACTTAAAATATTTTAAAGAACAAGGTGGAAAATGTAGTTGTACTATTAACAGTAGCATGGAAAACCAGAAATTATTACCCATATAAATATTAAATAACAGCTTACTTCCTTTGTCCATAAATGATTTGGGGTACTGAGTTTTTAATGAAAAAGTAAATAGTTAATTTAAGAAAGGAACCTCAGCAGTAGGCTGTCAGGCAATGTAGGAGGATGGAGGCACGGAGTGGAAAAGGCACATAGTAGTCAACAGTAAGCAATGCTTCATGCAGAGAGAAAAGCAATATGCAAATACAGATGTTGTCACACTTAATATTAGCTTTGTAGGTGTCCTCAATGTGGCATAATACCCTCTACATCTTTAGTAATCACCTTTTACACAAAATTGCCTTGTGTGAGTATCCTTCAGGAAATCAGTGAAAGGATCCTGTTTTATTGTTTGTTTTTAAAGTAGACAATAAGAGGCAGAGACACAAGACTAGTAACAGGACTGAAGGGAGATTTGAGTGAGATTGAGAATTGCCAGAGGTAGAATGTTAGGTAAAATAGTCAACAGAGAGAATATCAATTGTTTGGGAATGGAACATTATAAACCTAACTCTGTGTACAATGGAGCATAAAGCCACTATGTCAAGTTATTAGAGAGTGAATCATGAAGGTATTGGGGATATCTTGTTATAACTTTTTTACTCTAATTTACTTTGCAAATGAAATTTTTGCATCTGGAATTTTGTCACAAAAAAAGTTTTTGTTCTTAATAACACACACACACAGGAAATTGGAAAGGTAAATAAAATTGACAAACTAAACACATGATTTAGCTCTCCTAATTTCCCAAACAAGTAGAAATGGTAGACCATAGATGAAAATAGAATAAATAAGGAGGAAGAAAAGAAGAAAAAGAAGAACAAAAAGAATACCTTAAAACTTTACAAAACAATGACATAAGTACTAAAAATTTGGGGTAAACCATTCATGACAGAAAGATTAACAGAAGTAGATTATAGAAGAGGAATTACCACCAAAAGTTAGAATGGTTGTATGGCAACCAAAAATCAGAGGAATAATAGAAACTAGAAGCATGCAAGAACCAGCATTATGACTGTTGTTTGAGAAAGTGCATTAGAAGACAGCAATGGATATGATGTCAAACATGAACATGGCAGGGGCTTGAGGGTGATGCTAACATCCCTCCTTCCCCAACCAGAAGATGAATACTTGACATACTGTCCTGAATCTCACAGTCAGTAGAGGCAGATACACTAAACAGAAGGAACACACACAAATAGTTGTACAGAAACTTCCCATAAAGAAACACATTATCACCTCCAAACACTTAAAAAAAAAAAATTATGAAACGGAGACCCAAGTTTAAAACCAAGACCAAAAAAAAAAAAAAAAATGATGAGGCTATATGCTCAATAGAGGAATATATGAAATACAAGAAAGAATATTGAAGAAATGTACCTGTAAGAAAGAAAAAAAATGAGAATAAAGAAAGAAAAAGGAAAGAAATAAGAAACAGAAAGAAAGAAGAAAAGGAAGGAAGGAGGGAAGAAGAAAATGATAGAGGAAAAGAGTAAGGAAGAAAGGGAGGAAGGAGGGAGAGAGGAAGGGGAAAAAAGAGTGAGTTTAGTTATATGAAACTAAAATCTTAGAGGATCTCAGATAAGTAGGTGATACAGGGTGCAGAAGGGAGGAATGAAAATGATTCATGGAAGGTCCTCGTTTGTGGGTTTTATGTGTAACCTATCTTTAGATTCTAAAAGAAAAACATATTTAATGATTCATTCATTTATTCAGCAAATGTGTTTTGGGTGGCTAATCTGTGCCAAACACCATTTTAGGTACAGATTTGGATGGGGAGGTGAATGAAAAAGAAAAATCAAATATGATTTCCAAGTCTTTTGATCTCAGTAAGTTGATGAATAGCGAGTGAATGAACTGAGGGGAGAAGCAAAGGGATTAAACTGGGGTGGCAGTTCTAAGGAAAAATATGAATTCTCTTTGGTTTGATATATGACAAACACATGTTAATATATATTTTGAAATATGTGCATTCAAGAATTAAATGATTCTCCCATTCATATACTTATGTTAAAAAAAAACAATAAAAGAAACTTCATAAAAATCAAGAGGAAAAATTTAAACAAAGAAAGCAAAATCAATGCAAAATATGGCATAAATATATGCCAAAGGAGAATAATAAATAGAAAGTACAGAAAAGTGGAAGGAGTAAGTCCAGACATCAATAATCCGGGAAAGGCCAGACACAGTGGCTCATGCCTATAATCCTAGCACTCTGGGAGGCCAAGGCTGGTGGATCACTCAAGGTCAGGAGTTTAAAACCAGTCTGAGCAAGAGTGAGACCCCCATCTCTACTAAAAATATAAAAAAATTAATTGGCCAACTAAAATATATAGAAAAAATTAGCTGGGCATGGTGGCTGTAGTCCTAGCTACTCAGGAGACTGAGGCAGAAGGATTGCTTGAGCCCAGGAGTTGAAGGTTGCTGTGAGGTAGGTTGATGCCATGGCACTGTAGCCTGGGCAACAGAGTGAGACTCTGTTTAAAAAATAATAATAATAATAATCCAGGAAATATGAGTGAGTTACAATTGTCTATCAATTGTATCCACACAAAATAGAATACTACACAGGCTGGCAAATGAAGTGCATAAAAATATATGTATACATTTCACTAATGTAATACAGTATAACATGAGGTAATTAGCTAAAATAGTGCACAAAATTAGAGAAAAATAGGCGAAACTAATGTAAGCTAGTATTGTAAGCTAGTATTATATCTCTTGACTTCTAATAGCATTTATATTAGAAGCTAATGAGCTAATAACTTTTTCTTAGGAAGAGTATGAGATTTGAATGGAAAAAGTGCATTAGAAGACAGCAATGGATATGATGTCAAACATGAACATGGCAGGGGCTTGAGGGTGATGCTAACATCCCTCCTTCCCCAACCAGAAGATGAATACTTGACATACTGTCCTGAATCTCACAGTCAGTAGAGGCAGATACACTAAACAGAAGGAACACACACAAATAGTTGTACAGAAACTTCCCATAAAGAAACACATTATCACCTCCAAACACTTAAAAAAAAAATTATGAAACGGAGACCCAAGTTTAAAACCAAGACCAAAAGAAAAAAAAAAAAATGATGAGGCTATATGCTCAATAGAGAACTCAAAGGAATATATGAAATACAAGAAAGAATATTGCCTGAGCCTCTGTCTGGACTGCCTGCGCTGCAGCCCAGGGATCCGATCGAGGGGGGAAGAAAAGGGGCGCTTGGGAGCAGCCCCCAGCCCCCTCCCCCGGAGGCACAGAGGGCGGGGGGCCCAGGCGAATGGCTTTCTTGCTGGCCACTTGCGGAGTGAGTAGACCCCGAGGGTCTGGGAGAGGCGCTGGCCCCCACCCCTGAGTCCCCGGGGTCCCTGCTGCCGGCCCAGAGCCTGGCCGTGTGCGGAAATGTTGGGCTCCCTCTGCCTCCTTGCCGCCGCCCCCTGGGGGATTGGATTCAGGATTTGTTCCTAGTGTTCAAGACTTTGATAAGAAACTTACAGAGGCTGATGCTTACCTACAAATCTTGATAGAACAATTAAAGCTTTTTGATGACAAGCTTCAAAACTGCAAAGATGATGAACAGAGAAAGAAAATTGAAACTCTCAAAGAGACAACAAATAGCATGGTAGAATCAATTAAACACTGCATTGTATTGCTGCAGATTGCTAAAAGTACTATTAATCCTGTAGATGCAATATATCAACCTAGTCCCTTGGAACCTGTGATCAGCACAATGCCTTCCCAGACTGTCTTACCTCCAGAACCTGCTCAGTTGTGTAAGTCAGAGCAGCGTCCATCTTCCCTACCAGTTGGACCTGTATTAGCTACTTTGGGACATCATCAGACTCCAACACCAAATAGTACAGGCAGTGGCCATTCACCACCTAGTAGCAGTCTCACTTCTCCAAGCCATGTCAACTTATCTCCAAATACAGTCCCAGAGTTTTCTTATTCTAGCAGTGAAGTTGAATTCTATGATGCTGATGAATTCCATCAAAGTAGCTCATCCCCAAAGCGCCTAATAGATTCTTCTGGATCTGCCTCAGTTTTGACACACAGCAGCTTGGGAAATAGTCTGAAGCGCCCAGATACCACAGAATCACTGAATTCTTCTATGTCCAATGGGACAAGCGATGCTGACCTTTTCGATTCACATGATGATAGAGACGACGATGGGGAGGCAGGGTCAGTGGAGGAGCACAAGAGCGTTATCATGCACCTCTTCTCACAGGTTAGGCTTGGAATGGATCTCACTAAGGTAGTTCTTCCAACATTTATTCTTGAAAGAAGATCTCTTTTAGAAATGTATGCAGACTTTTTTGCACATCCGGACCTGTTCGTGAGCATTAGTGACCAGAAGGATCCCAGGGATCGAATGGTTCAGGTTGTGAAATGGTACCTCTCAGCCTTTCATGCAGGAAGGAAAGGATCAGTCGCCAAAAAGCCAAACAACCCCATTTTGGGTGAAATCTTTCAGTGTCATTGGACATTACCAAATGATACTGAAGAGAATACGGAGCTAGTTTCAGAAGAACCAGTACCTGGGGTTTCCAAAAACAGTGTAACATTTGTGGCTGAGCAGGTTTCCCATCATCCACCTATTTCAGCCTTTTATGCAGAGTGTTTTAATAAGAAGATACAATTCAATGCTCATATCTGGACCAAATCAAAATTCCTTGGAATGTCAATTGGGGTACATAACATAGGGCAGGGCTGTGTCTCGTGTCTAGACTATGATGAACATTACATTCTCACATTCCCCAATGGTTATGGAAGGTCTATCCTCACAGTGCCCTGGGTGGAATTAGGAGGAGAATGCAATATTAATTGTTCCAAAACGGGCTATAGTGCAAATATTGTCTTCCACACTAAACCTTTCTATGGGGGCAAGAAGCACAGAATTACTGCTGAGATTTTTTCTCCAAATGACAAGAAGTCTTTTTGCTCAATTGAAGGGGAATGGAATGGTGTAATGTATGCAAAATATGCAACAGGGGAAAGTACAGTCTTCGTAGATACCAAGAAGTTGCCTATAATCAAAAAGAAAGTGAGGAAGTTGGAAGATCAGAATGAGTATGAATCTCGCTGCCTTTGGAAGGATGTCACTTTCAATTTAAAAATCAGAGACATTGATGCAGCAACTGAAGCAAAGCACAGACTTGAAGAAAGACAAAGAGCAGAAGCCCGAGAAAGGAAGGAGAAGGAAATTCAGTGGGAGACCAGGTTATTCATGAGAATGGAGAAATGTTGGGGTTTTTATGGAATGAAACCATTATACGTCTTGGTGCTTGCCCAAGCATTTAAGCTGGGGGAATGGCAAAGTTTTACATCTGATGACCAGTAGGCCCCCGTATTCCAAACAAACAAATCTTTCCTCTTGGGAGAACCTATTCACTTCCCTTCTTATACAGTGGTTTCTATTCTCCAGGGATACTGACTTTCCGAACGCAGAAACGAACAAATTAAAGCGGGAAAAGCTTCCCTTTTTTTCCCTCTGTGGTAAGTTCGATTTTTGACTTCAGTCCGAGAAAAAAACTTCAGGTTTTGAAAACAAGAATGCTGGCTCCTTTCCAAACAACCCGGCCATTGGAAAGCATTATATAATCCCAACTCTCTAACTCTGCACCTAAGTACTGCTATTAAATATAACAGCCTCTGTTCTAGTTAATTAATTTTGGTGTTATATATATTATATATTTAATACACAACAGAACACACAATACACCATTATAAAGAATAATAACCTGATCCAGATTTTTCCCATAAATACTCCCATTTCTATGTGTAAATAGGTTTCCTCTGAGTTGTTTAAGAAAATAGTTGCATGTAT